ACCCTCTTCGCTGAATCCAACTCATAGAAATTGTTCGATGGGCTATTGCATATGGTCTAACGCTATTGCACTGCCAGTCGAATATGGTATCGCGTTACATAACAATATCCTCAATTGCTGCCGCATTGGCACACATATTAGGTTCCGCCACATTCGTTTTCAGCTATTTTTCGATGCCTTTATCCTCCAATGCTAATTGCACGCGGAAATACAATCAGGTACTGAATTCACGGCCATCGAAACACAAATATTTCATCGTCTACCTCTGGCATTTGACTGCAGAAGTCGCTAATGTCATTTTGCCATCTGTCATGATACTATTTTTTGTAGGAATATCATGGCACCGGTACTTCAAGTTTGTCAACCAGTGACGTTTATAGAAGCGCGGGAATGCGCGTGAGCATATCTATTACCGGAAACACGTGATATTTGACGCAAAATGGCGGCCGATCTCAACGACCAATCAAAAATTAGACACTCTATTGTCACCACTGTCTCTATAAAGTCACTGTAGCTCCGATTAAAGTCACTAAATAATATAGAAAATACCGCAATCCATTGGGCTCGTGTGTTAGAGAGAGAACGCATGATTTTTGCCCAAAAATGGCGGAAGTTACCAGATTCTAGTAACTTTAATGCTAGGGATTGTTCCACCTGTTTGGAGATATCTGTATATTTTTTTATAAAACATGACAGTACTATGAAGTTAGGTTATAAAAAATGACAGCTATTCAGATTTTATTTGTCAATTTTTTTAAGTTGGCAGCAAATTTGCCCAAAAATGGCGGATGGTTGCGGTACTTTCTATATTTAGTGACTTTAGCTCCGATGTGGTTGATGCGACATCTATACAAAAATAACTCCACTAATTTATCCGTGAAATGGATGTCAATCTTTGTTCAATTGAAGTTTATAGACGTCGCAGAGATATTTTATCGTGCACCTATTCGTTTAAATTGTCATGCCGAATACAGTTCGTGAGTTTCAAATTTCCGGAAATTGCAAAACCACTCTGTAGCAGTTGTAAAATAATATTAATATTTCTGTCCATATTTCAATTTCCACCTGTATATTTTCTAAATTTTCTCGAGTCATTGAATGCGACCAATTTCTAGTTACTTTTGCATTTCTGCATTTACCTCTCCGATTTAACTTGTCTTCTTGTCGTTAGAGGACATTTAGTTTGTTGTTAACCACAGAATAAGACCTTGTGAACCATTAAATTACCGTATATGGTCATGTATCAAATTCTGCTCTACTATTCGTCAGAGATAACTATCTTGGGTAAAATTTCGAAACTTGTGGCGTCTTCCAGCAACCTGCAATAGAATCGGTCGTGCTAAATTCCGAAATTTGGGTGTTTGATATATTTTCCAATGGTCGAATTGATTTAATACTTAGCGGAAGATTACCCGTTGTGCCGACAATTTGTTTTTGGACGTTTGGTTACAATTTTTTTCCGAAATGGACTTTTAATACGGAAAACTCAAGCATTCCAAATCGTAAGTGTTTTCTTGTGCACGAATTGAGGTTACCGATGTTCCTTTTTCTATCGTAGGGGAACAAATACCGACCATATAGTATTTTGAAGTCATTTGGGACGTATTCAGTTCTTTTCTTTTGTGTACTCTCTGAATAAGAGGTTAGCATTATTGTGGGTTATAACGTAGTCGTAATTAGGTTACTTTTTAGAGTCTTTGCAAGGGGGTTAATATTCAGCTGAATCCGGGGAAATAAACGACCTACTGCAGATGAGTGTACTGTAAAACATCCCGTAGAACGGCAGCCGAACGTAGATCGTGAGAGATATATACCTGGAGTCTCCGTAGGAATAATTTTTGGTTACACCAGGAACCTGTGGAATTGCCGACACAATTTATCGTTAGCGGCGACGTACCTTCAACCTTTTTTTTTCTTTTGTTAAGACCTAAATATCTGTGAACAGTTTATTTGACCCACATATGTAAGTGGAAATTTTTACGTGTAATTAGTATCTTTAGGACTGTTTAACTATCAAATACGAATTACTCTAAAGAAGTAATCACTTGTAAGGTAAAGAGCTCGTTACTACGATTAAGTTCAACACCTCAAGCTACCGATTATAGTACATCATTTCAATTTTAATTTCTAGTAATTGTACTTGTCGTTGCTTAGTCATAACTTCAGGGGATGTTGGTGGGTTAAATTTTGTGTTAATAAGTTCATTGGAAGATTTCATTTTTTTTATTTTGCATACTCTTTAATTAATAAACGATAATTTTTCTTGTGCTTCACTCTTTTTATACTGAAGCTACACCTTTCCTAATTCCGGTGACTGCAGATAAAATCGTTTGTGGAATTAGGTGGCGCCCTAAAGACTTGAATCGAAGCACCAGTAAGTATTAGTGGCGGAGATTTACTTGGAACCTTTTATAATAATTTGTTGTCAAAGTTTTTAATTCACATACCTACTACCCTGAGTAAGAGCATATCTCTCTACGCTGTTAACTATTTGGCTAACGGAGCTAGCTAGCCGATCAGCGGCGTGTGTTGATTTCAAATTGCACATGGTATTTTAAGGTGCCCTACATTCTAAGCTTGCGCGTTATAACTCGTTTTATATATACAAATTTGATTAGAAAGATTAGAAGAATCGCTACATTGGCAGGTGTCTTTCAAGACTGAGTCCTTGTTTATTCGTAAAAATGATTACGAAAGTTGAGTATAGTGCTGCCACCTACTCAACTGAAAATTTAAATCGCTGACCTTAAATAAAGCTGTGCATTCCGTCAACTGGTGGATAGCAGTGCATGGAAGATCGGATAAAAAGGCTTGACCACTTGGAGAATTTCATTTTTGTATTGGGTTTTGCTTATGTTACTTGATTTTTTGTATTTCATTTGTTAAGTTCAATTTCTTATATTTGCTCCATTGCATACCTTCATTTTCAACTTCAATCTTATCCAGTTTGCTAATCGCACAGTTCACAGTAGCAGTAGTCCATCTTTTCTCATCTTGCATGTTTTCTCTATTTATCCTTCATTTTACATGTAAATGTAAGGGTAGGTACTTCGCAAGCTTACGTACAATTCCTTACGGCCGTAAGTTTCAGTGTTCCATCTGAGTCGTTTACTATTTTTCTTTTCTTCGGGGGCAATCAATCCACTTCGGGGATGGGCTTTTCTTTTTTTATCATGGGGATTTTTCTGGGATTTCAATTTGAACGTGAGGCGGGTTGTTCGCAAATGGAGCAATCTTGACAGTAGAACAAGGCCACCTTTGATTTTGTGACGTCACGCGCCCATGACCTTGGGGTGTCTCAAAGTCACGCGGCGCCACCACGGTTTTACGTGAATAAATGGTAAGTACATAGAAATACATTATTTTACAATGAATATTTCCTCACACATGAAAGTTGAAGGTTACCCAGTTACCTACCTTGTAAGAAATTTCTCGAGGAGCATTTTCAGCCAAAAATATTTCATCTAGCCCTAAAGGTCGCGATATATTTGCAAAAAGCCACGAAAATTGATGATTTTCGCCTCTTTTATGAATTTCCTTTTCAGTATCTACCTTGTATGAAATTTCACGAAAAATATTTTCAGCAAAAAATATTTCATCTAGACCTCATAGATCGCGAGATATCAGCCAAAAAGGGCGAAAACACGGGTTCTGGGGGGTGGTGGGGTGGCTGGAGCCTTTAGCACAGGGTCTGGGGGGTGGGATTTTTAATATGTAATTCCTGACATCTAACTGAACATATTCCACCATTTTTTTCTTTTCCACCTCAAAATGTCCAGTTAGATGTCTTTATCGCCTAGACTAAAACAATGAAGGCTAAAATTGAAAATCCAAAAATGCCCTCGGACATAAAAACATTGTAAATTGCAAGCTCTTTTTAGAGAAAATCCGTTTTTTGACGTTTTAACACCTTGCACATCAACTACGACTACGACCAAAGGTCATTAACGTGGACGAAAGGCTATGGTCTTGAGTCAAATCACAAAGCAATGATCTTGAGACAAAGTGCAAGGCCACGACCTTGAGAAATCCTAAGGAGGTGATCTCGTGGCGTAACCGGGTAAATTCCCAGGTCAAAAACTTGTGATGCACATTGACCTTGAAAAAAAGGTCCTGGTCTTGTGGCATCACTAAATTCAAGATGGCGGAAGGTGTCCGTGTCTTGTATAATTGTTTTATTTGTTGCAAACAAAACGTGATCGTTCTAATGTCACCTTAACAAGCTACTAACTTGCAAAATTGACAGGTGGCTCCCTTTATTTTTACAAATCAGTAGAGTTCTGACATTTAGGTTCCATTATTATGATTCAAAATGACAATCTGCGTACTACATTTGCATCTTTTTTGGAGATAACCACATTTCCTACACTCAAATTGGTAAACAAAAATGTAAATTCAAGTGAAAAATTGCGGAATCAAAATTAATGTTGAAACTTTGTTTCGGTGCCATCTTCAAAAAAATGTTCATGTTGCCGGCCCGTGTGACGCAGTTGAATTGAATCTCGACTGCGGTACTAAGGGTCCCTGGTTCGAATCTGGGTTCGGGCGTGGATATTTGTAAATGTAGAGCAACTTTGGTTTGGTTTGTCAAAATTAAACAAAAATTTAAAAAAAACATTTATCATGACATTTGCGTTTGTTTTTTTATTAAATATACTTAAAGAGCAAAATAAACTAATGATCACAATGAAAAATCTATAAGTAATATTGTCATAAAAAAACTTGAAGAAGCTTTGTAAACTACTAACAACATAACACTAAACAACAGTTTTTATAATAAACAGCAGACCAGTATTTTACCGAAAACATTCGGGCAAGTTAGTTTAAAGTTAAATTTAAGAGAACGTGATGGTTTTCACAGGGAAACAGTGAAGCGAATATACAATGCAGCGCTTCCGCCACGGTTCCCAAAGGTTGAGATTGCCAATTATATGAAACGATGCTCGCCAAGTCTTAAACAAATTACACATTTACTACCCTATGAATATTATAGTTGTTTTATGATGAACTTACAGATATTATGCACTTTAAAAGATAAAGGCAAGACGAAATTCAAACACAAAGCCCACTTCGTAAATTGAAGGGTGCGGTTGGGGAAATTCAATTTTAGGTTAGACGCGTCGTGACATTACATTTTTTTTCAAATGTCACATAGACGAGAATTAACAGCTGTAAACCATCAGTTCGATCAACCTGTCAATTTGGAACAAGGTGGGTAATTTATGACTAACATTCCTCGCCATCACGATGTTCTGTAGGAACACGCGGTCGCCTGTACAACATAGCGGAGTCGGAGGGTGCACTTTCGGACTATGTCGCTCAGAAATGGGGACCTAGTTAGGTATACCCAGTAGCTCAGGGCTATTCACAAACGTGTCATTTTAAGGTATTTGCAGAGTAGTTTTGATTTGCGCTTACGGAATGGCGCTTTTTACGTTCATCACGGGCATTGTGTATATGACGTATTGCCCCCGTCAGTACCACATTGCTGGTTATCTAATAATTGGAGGTACAAGTGGAAAATGTGATGTTAGAACTTTACGACATATAATTATCAGGGCTGTTTTCAACAGTTTTCATCACAATAAGATTTGTGCGTAGAGTAAAACCTGGAACCTACATCGGGCTCGGTTGGGTATTCTCCATTGGGCTCTTCATATTAGGTTGTGTTTGGATATACAAAGTGCCCCAACTGAACATTGGTCAAAGTTTCAAGTTGCACTGCGATCCAGTGTTCCACATAATTGCCTTTTGGATTGTGACCGTCGAATTGATATTAATAGCTCTTGGAATTTGTGCATTATGTATCACGTGTTACATTTAAATTAATGCTCATTTATTGGATGAAATAAAATTCAGGAGATGCGAGATTGAATTGCGCCTTGCAATATGCTAATGGAACTTGAAGAACATGTGCAGTTCATATCCCTCTATTTAGTTTGTGGGAAATCGGAATTGATAACGTTTACTTTGCGTAAGCGAACAGGAACATGCTACATCGGAGCTTCGCATTTATTAAATCGAGCGTCAGAAGCCAAAAAGATTAATTCTTTGCATGGGGATAATAAGATCGTGGCTCATCGGGCGATATAACTGAAAATTAAAATGACTTGAAGTGTAATATATAGCGACATAAACTGCACTCGATTCTTTCACTTAAACGGGCACCCTGGGAATTAATTTCACTAAAAGCAATTTAAAATGGCACAAGCGAGAATTGCATTGCTCACATACCAAGTTTTAATGCTAAAATATCATTAGAGGAATTATTGGAGGAATACTTAGAATTTTAATACATCGCATATACTTGATTAAATTGCAGTTCGAGCAAATTTTTGTAGTTTACGATTTTGCGAATGGAATTAATTCAACATTGTTATGGTATGTTAAATATGGCCGTGTGTAATCGCGTGCGGTCAATACACCACCCACAAAACACCTGTCCATCTCAAAACAAATCAAAATTGAAACTTAAAATTTTATATCTCCTCGGACACATCCGGCATCTGCTAGCAGAAACATCCGAATATTGACCAGGTGGCGTCGATCAACTTCCAACAATTCCCAAGATGATTACACAAACTCTGACATGAGAACTCTATCCGGGTCGCATAAAGAATTCGAATGAACACACAATAGATTGACAATGACAAAAGTTTATTCCGATACACATGAACCAAAATTAAAACAAAATCCTTGAAAGAAAACTTGCTTCGACAGAATACTCCACACGCAGGCGGTCGGAAATTAACAAAATTAAAAAAATCACTTACACTTAGAATTAAAATTGGCGAAATGACATGCTCCTTTTTAACAGTCATGTTCATTGTGGGCGATTGTACGACGACATCTTGTATACTAAACGAATATTGTTCGACTAATGTACATAGTCATAGTAATTTCGACTTTGACCGCTCATGCGCCGCACCTAGCAACAGAGGCAGGCTAAGGATAATTTCTTTGAAGGAGTTTCAAACTGGCTTCTATTTTGGGAATGCAAATTACATCTTAATATGGGTCATTTCGTTTAAACGAACGATATTTCGTTGACACGGTTGCGACGTGACTGATTGAATAAACAAAAAAGCTTGGGCACGTTTTTAGGAGGTAATAAATAAAAACGGAATAGATATTTAACTTGTAAGGAAAGCGCTCTGGGAAGATAGTCAATGTAACGAATAGGTCGAGTATGAAAAAGGAGAACGGGACAGTCAATAAAGTTCCATTGTTGAGTGCAGTTAGGGATAGAAATATGTAACTTAGTCAGGCAAGCTAAATTCACTTATCATTAATTGATGAAATTAAATATTATGTGGTGTGATATGCGTAAATGCAGCCGTATGGGGGCATGGTTTGGGGAACACGACGTAATTAAATTTAACGTTGCGTTTTATTTAATTAAAATTAAGCCGCGCTAAATTATCTGTTCGGCTATCAATTATTTTTAATTGAAATTAAGTTTACCAAATACGCAAGCATCTAGTAATTCAGTAAGTTACTCTAAATTCGGCTGAAAGGATTATTTAATTCCCTTTACTTGCTTCTCTTGTAATTGACTTTTATGATCACTCTGTAGATGAACACCCGGTATTTAAAAACGTTTCCGTTGCCGTTGCCGAAAGTATTTGTGTTGCTCAAGAAGTTGAAGACAAAAGCTAAAGGTAATTAATTTAATTTCTAGAGTTGTGTTTCACACGCCGCGCCGCTACCGTAGACAAACGCTGCAATTAATCTGCCGTTTGCAATCGTTTCCGTCAAGATATTTCAATTATTTTTGTTGCGTCCGAAAACTCTTGTCATCTAAAAGACTGGAGCAAGATAATTTTGTAAAGTTTCAGCTCCGTTAAGCCATTATGGGCAGGTTTTTGTTTACTATGTCAATTTAAAACGAGCGTTAAAAAGGCAACGCCGTACATGTTTACACCTTCATCAGGTTGAGACCTTTATGCCGACTTGAGACATTCCAATCAACAATAGGTATTGATTGGACTACCGACTTTAGAACTTTCAATTCCGACAAGCAAGTAAGTGCAATTAACAGTAGCTAAATAAATGTGTTGTAGTAATCAGCATCCGATTAAGTCATGAGTAGTCTCAAATGGAGCGCTCTTCATTAATTTGAGTTTTAACCTTTGTTTCTATTGTCTATTTCTTAATGATTTTTGATATTGAACTAATGATAATGATTGTAATAAACCCCCTATTCATTTTTGGATATAGACAACCGAATACGCTGTGTCAGGTGGAAAAACCGTCGATCCCTCCATGAAAGAGCCGAGCTTTATAAAAGGCAAGGCCGTTGTTTAGGGGTGATCTTTTGGCTGTTGCCATGAGTTACATTTGTAAGTGCCGTAGTAAATTTTGATACTTTTCATAAATTGATTCATGAGTACAAATTCAATTTTGTTTTCTTGAAACCATCACTTGACCCTCGCGTATTTGAGTCTGATTTTGTTAATTCCGCAAATTTTTTTCGCATACACTGGAAAAATGGCTTAAACAACTCTACAAAAAAGTTCATTATAGATTTTTTGTGAATTTCTTAGTTTTTGAGAAGTTTTGAATTGTTAAAGTTAAACTATTTATTTTATTTTTTCTAAATTTGCATTTTTCTCGAAAAGTAAGCATGAGTGAAAAATGTTAATTACAAAAAAGGCGTGTCTTGATGAGATCTACAAAAAAGTCATCCACTTTTTGCGTCGGATTCAAAATAAAGGCCCCAGAGGGCATTTTATAAATGTTAGATAGATATTTGCGATGACTATATTAACCTGACAACTAGTTCGAAGTGACCGCCGCCATTTGGTGAACTCGGTCACCAGGAGCTGTCGGTTACTGATTGAGTTTTCCCGAGGCTTCAGAGATCATTCCGCCAAACCATTCCTACCCCCCGACCTTGACCAGGGACAAGGTTGCAGTATTCTTTGGTGGCGGGCGAGTTGACCGTTCCGCCGTTGTAACCGTAACCGTACAGTTTATTGAGTTGTAATTCTGTTTTTATATTTTTTAATAAAAGTTTTTTTTTAATTAATTTTGCGTTTAATTTGAAAGCCCACCGTTGGTGCGCGAACTACCGAAGTTCTTCGAAACTTTATATTTTAATTTTATCACTTCATGAATATGAATTAAAGTGTTTCAAATAAATGTTTACTGGTTTAAGGTAGGTGTAAAAAGTTACTGCAGTTGACAGTAAGGCCGGGATTGGACCTTAAATTTTGGTTCTGTAAGAAACAGACTCTTTCACTACTACTGTCAGTGGGGCCATTGAGCTTCAAACTTTGGTTCTGTAAGCCGCAGGCCATACTAAAAGTCCGCCTTCCCGTTGCCAATCGGTCCCGAGCACTGTCATTTATCAATTTGTTCGTAGTAGACCGAAAATTAAAGACTCGGGGCGTAGACGTGGTGCAAGTAGTGTAAAAAATGCTTAGTAGGCATCCACCTAAATAAGTGTCAGAAAACTCGGAACCATTGTCCATGTCCGTAGAAACCGAACACGGTTTCAAGCACCTTGGCTTATATGCGGGCGCGCGGTGTGTGGTTTATGCTTAGATTAAGGCATCAAAGGCAGTTCGTACAATGCAAACGACTCGTTGAGTAATTATTCAGGAACACCTGTGTGTCGATTCTGTGGTTAAAACCAGTAATTTTGGAACACTATGAGTCCACCATTCGATACGGTCCTTAATGAGGTTAGTAGCAATTTGACCACAGTTTGTCAGATGGGCTACGAAAAATTGGTTCTTACTAATGCCCTGAATCATGCTTTTGAATAATATATTTGAGCATACAGTTTTCCAAATGACAAAAGCTTGAGTCTTTATTTTATTGTGTTGGTATAAAATGCCATTTAACTATTCTGGAACGCCCAATTGCTGAGAGATAAAAATAAAATGCCCCGTCACAATTTTAATCATCCCAAATCATGCATATGGAGTGTATAATGAAGGGTTAATAATAATTTGGCGTGTCCATCATCCCTAATTAATTCGTACAAATTAACATTTTAACTGTATTAACCTTTAGTTCTGACGATCGCCTGAAGTGTAGAGCGGAGGCTAGTTTCGAAGTTAATTGTTTAGTTGTATTACAACAAAACTTTTAAATAAACAGTGACCGACCACGCTATTTACCTAGAATTTCGGAAAAATTTACCAAGCCATTCGGAACATAAACTGCTATTTACTAACCCTATATTGAGCCCAGCGCGTTCACGTTACGCAAATAATTTTGTACAAAAAAACAATTTACAAAGGATCAGAGCGCATCAGAACGTAAGTTTACACTAGTTATATATTTATTAATAAAATATCTTGTTGCCCACTTACTCTTTTGTTTACAGTACCTGCAATAAACCACCAGTAAAATACACGAGCTTTTTGGATAAATTTAGATAGTAATCTGAAGGTGTAAATTATCTTTGGGACTTTTTAAATCACAAGCTACTCGGATGTAATAAATTAATAGGCGATTAATCTCGCTAATTACAAATAAATTAGTCGGAACTACAAGTTTATGTCGCATTTGTAGATGTGGCTAAAATGAAATGCAAACACGACTTCATTCTTCATTTTCATTTCCATTGTGCATTATTCGGAATGATGCATTTTGCAATGTGCTACAAAATTGAAATTGCAAAATAGAGGGAACACGTACCGCAAAGCCAATATTTTTACAAATGTGACAGATGTTGATTTTCACAATTTTAAAGTGCGATTTACTGTAAGGCAGTTAAGTAATGCGGTTTTTTTCGTTGCAGGCGAAGCTAGAAACCAAAGCTCTCAAAGCCAAACGGCCTGGCTTTACGGATGATCGTTACAACGAAACGTCTTACTACATTGAGAACGGTAAGTATATGCGTAGGTACGGCTGCGATTGTTGAGTTTTAATTTTTGTTTGCGAAACTTCTCCTAATTTTTGGAACAATAAACCCTTGCGCTCGTAATCGCGCGACCTGAAAGTGTTTTTTCTCACAACGTTTAACTTGTAGAGTGCGCTGCAAAGAAAACTGAAAAGTTGAGTAGCGTGTTCGCGTCGTATTTAAATTGCTTTTACGAACTCATTATTTTCTTTTCGTTTCACATTTTACCCTCTTATTCTCTAGCTAGCTTTATAAAATAAGTTTACCTTTCTTCCGTTTTATTGGTCTAATGATTATTACTTTAGTTAGGTTGGTAATAGTCACACATTTTTCCTTTCAGGCCTCTTTTTAAAAGGAAGTTTTTATTTAACTCTGCTTTTTGCTGTATGGATCTTCGGTTGGAATTTTGCCGATTAAAGCCTTTCTACACCCTTCTTACCATTAAAAACAGATGACGATAATTGCGTGTGTAATTTAGATCAGGTCACATGCAGGTATAATTCTTTCAATCCCATGAGTGGTATTGTTGATTTCGTGTAGTCGAATCCAAACTCACAAATCGATTAGGACGTCGACATAGATAAGTCGATTTTATCACCCTATTGATTTTTACCTTACAGATCTGACTCTGACTGGTCTGAATTTTGACTTAAAATCGTCTTTGTGCATGTACTACACAATTTATAACAGCGCAAACTATTTATTACTTCGACGTGGAAATTGGAACTGCCCTGGGACGCAAGCAAAACACGCACTCAGTGTCACTCCAATATATAAAAACACCCCTGCGATAAATTCGCGATGATTGACTTGAGTTCGCTCGCGGTTCAACGTAAGTGTTTCTAACATAAATAAAATACACCCTGCGTTAGTCGATAGGTGTTTGACTCAACTTCGCTTACGGTTCAACGCCTCGTGGTTCGACGCGAATAACATACCTTTTCCACCAATAAAACTAATTTTTCCGTCCAATCACACCGCCTGATACCTATAAATTTCTCAGTCGCTAATGTGGTTGGACCACACTAAAGACATACGAAGTAAGCTCATCCGGTGGGCATTGCGGCTCCAAGAGTTCACTTTTGACGTAATTCAATGCCCAGGAAGAGAAAATGAACTTCCTGACCACCTGTTCCGCTACCAGTTGACAGAGCAAGTCGACCAAACTATGTGAAAGGACGTCAACCGCATGCTGTCTCCAACAATCGAACATCCGGACAGCGAAACCCCCAGTCACCCGGTAATTGCGGCGATTAAAGAAGGTCAGAGAGCAAACGAGAACGCCATCATTCTGGTACAAACATAGCATAGGATCCAACTGGAAGGGATAGTGAAGCTTGTGTGGGAATGCGTAAGGAACTGTTAGGGGTTAGTCGCCACCATACGAGGACCGATACAAAATGCTACCGTCCGACTACGCCCATGGGAGATCATATTCGTGGACTTTATGGAACCGTACACCGCAGTGTGAACACCGGCAACAGGATCCTTCTCATCGTAACAGACCTATGTGGGTGGAAGCCTTTCCCCCCTTTTGTTACCACCGACATCGTGATCAATAGGCAGCAAAACAAAGTTTTCGGACGCTACGGCTTTCCTAGAGCCATAGTGTCGGACAATGGACCTCCGGAACGCAGTACTCACGCACTGAGGATGCGACCACTGGACCAGTCTCCTCACCGAGGGTAATATCGCCCACACCACCCCGAAAGTACTTTTATCTGCAATCCCACTTCTATTTTTAGCGCATTTTTTAAGAATTAAAAAAATGTGCTATTGTTAGCGTTTTGTCCGTCCGTCCGGATCCACTTCTGCGGTTTTGAATTAGTTTTTAGGGGAATGGTCCTAGAGTCCTGGAATTTTTTGCAATATGTAGCCTATACCTTGAATGTGGCCAGACGACCAACAAATTTCGTTGTTTCAAGAAGGGACTCCCTATGAATTATTTTCAGAGATGCTGTTTTTGAAAGTGCATAATTTTTACATGCGACAACCAACTGGTCTCAGATTACGCATACGCATGCCTTTAGTCGTTTCAAGAAAACTTTTTGAAAAGGGGGGGCGGAGATGAACACACATTCTACCCTTCAAGGTATTCTGGTCTCACCCAAATGAACTGGTTTGTAGAAACTATAACCTTCCTGCGCGATTCCTTTCCGAGATCAGTAGGAGGTCGTGGGGAGAAGGGAGGGGGTAGAAAATTTTATCTTTAATGGTATTCCAAATTTGATCACATGCCAGGTCGAAAACTCGAACTGTTATCTATTAAAACATTAAACTTTTTTAACCTGACAAGACTTTTATTTTCGTAACAAAATTTCTCAACATTGCAAGCATAACACTTTTCGGCGAACACTTTTAGATACGGATGCTACAACAGCATAGTTCACATAAAAGCAAAAAGTATAAATAAGCCGCTCATCTTTTACAAAATAGAAAAATTAACTACAGATACTCGTAGAGGTTTAATTTGCGAAGATCCTGACCTCACGAATTCCACTGCGTTTTTTTCCCAAAACGTGTATTTTGAATAGAACCTCGGTCTAAAACATCTGTCATACGGACTTATTTGTATTAACTATATTTAATCTATTATCGATAGCATAAAATCTCAAACCAAAGGGATGCATTTCGCAAACTTACTAAACTAATGAAACTTATTGATTACTGCACTATATACCGAATTACAACAATCCCTTGCCAATCTAAATGATTATCTTTATTTTCAGCTCTGCGTAAAGTTTACCCGTATTATTTTACCTTCACAACCTTCACGAAGGGAAGATGGGTGGGGGAACGAATATTGGACGTATTCGCAAGAGAATTCCGAGCACATCCCGCAGAGGAGTACGAGAGATGTATACGAGCGGGAACCTTAACCGTAAACTACGAAAAGGTCCCTACCGACTACAAGCTGAAGCACAACGATTTGCTCGCTAATGTCGTCCACAGGTACATTATTACCCATTTCATTTTCTAATCTAAAATTGTTTTATCGCCTAAATGTCGCTTTAGTTTTTTTTTTTATTTTTCGATAGGATAAGGGAAAAAAGCTCCCCTTTATAAATGGAAAGTAATTTGATACCGTTAATAAATTTCGCACTTTGGTAATTAGAAAAGTGGAAGTGTACGGTTGACGTGTATTATATCTTCGGTGCGGTAGTGTGAAGTTGATGAGGAGTAACCGCTAGGGAAATGTAGCTGCCTGGAACAGGAGGAATAAAATCAGTGTATCATTTGCACAGTTAGAAAATTTTCATTGTTGGGGTTACAATTTCCACGGTCCTGATGCGAGTTCTTCCGCTACTACGACGCTTTAATTAAAACCCTTTCACATTTCACTTTATTCTAATAACTAATTATTTGTAAATATGTCTCTATTATTTTGTAAATGAATGTATAGTTCCGTGTAGCCTGTAAAGTGTATTGAAGTAAATGCGGTAACTTTCAATGCACTTTTAAGCCAGTGAATGTGTATATCTCTGTACCGTATTGCATACAATGTGCTAGTAAGTTTTAAAGCATTGACGACACAATGTTCCAGACATGAAGTGCCAGTTACTTGCCACCCGATCACCATTGTACATCTGGACGAGGACGTTGTGGTGGTCAACAAACCTGCCTCTATCCCCGTAAGTGGCTCTGAGACTGCCATTATTTTCCACTCGCACTATTTATAGGTGATAGATAGTGTGCTTGCGCAGACGCTTTGCTTGGGGTGTTCTATGCTATTACTAACTTTTCTTTTATTTGCAGCGGTGTAGGTGTCTTAAAACGTAACAATGAAAGATTTTATACTTACTGAACAAGATGCATTCAGGTAATTAGTCTGAAAGCTTTGCACGCGTTTAAACCACGAAAAACGCATCGTTGACAATACATTCATTTTCGAAATTTGCTCTGCAATAATAGGCACAATGCCGGAATGGTAGTTTAAAATAAATCCCTAAATAGCCACCAAATCAAAAGTTATTAGTGTCTAATTTTGTTCTAATTAGGTCCTAAATACATTCGTATTCAATACAATAGGTGCACTCCTAATTCCCGGTTTCACAAACGATGATTAAGGTCAATGTTATATTAAGGTTAATTAATGATTAAAAAATATCAGAATGTTAGCCACCTTTGATTATACGTTCAGATGCTTCCCATTCTAATATTTTTAATCAGTGATTAACGTTAATCATCGTTTGTGAAACCGGCCATAAGAGCGATAGAACAAACAGGAATTAATCAAGAGCTAAGTTAGTGTTCCAATCGAAATAGAGACCACGTCGGAATTGTCTTCTTCTCTCTTTTTCAAAGGTAAATGGGCTTCAAGGACTTCTTCCGGTTACTGGAAAAACTCACGATGAAGTTGAGTTTGGTAATATTCTCTGGTTCGTATTAAATTGTTCTTGCAATTTTCTTCGTCTTCTTTTATCCTTGTAGTACGTTGGAACCTACCTTTTATACTTCCCAGGCTAGCTCAGATAAAACTAGGTTAAGGACAGGAGAGAATTCAATAGATTTTCCCTTCACTAATAATCTTATTAATAATTGAAACTTCGTAATTGAAATTTGATAAATGCTAAATCAGTGGTTAACTCTTCAATACAGCTATTTACTCCCATTGTAAAGAATCAATAACTATCCTTCAAAATTTCTCTTAAAGAACAAAAACCTAATCTCTAATTACGCTCAAAACATATCTCTGCTGACCAGAGACTTGAAGTTTTATAGTAAGGGTATTTTTTTCCTTGTCGCCTGATGTGCTGGTAGCAATTGTTTTGTCATGTTTCCGCTGTGTAGTAATCAACGCCTACAGATCTGGGAAGAACTGTCTTGCTGCCCTCTTCGAGTAAGGTAGTATTGATGGAGAATCTGGATTTTGTAAACCTCATTCAACGCCTCGATCTTCGCATAAATAATCCATTGCCTTTTAATAACAAACCGCAGGCAAAAAGAAAACAATGGCTGCAATTAATAAACAAGGCGCTGTTTTTTGGAACGTTTTCGGTCAGGAAATTAAATAATTTTACTACGATGCCCGCGACGTTGCTTCTTCTCCGTACTTATTTACAATTTTCAACTCGCAGTTAGGATAACTTGTTCACGCATTGCCGTTGTAACTTTAATTAGTATTTATTGTAGAAGAGCAACTCGCACTATTTACGAATTTGACTTAATTTTGCCCATAAACAAAACTGACCAGTATAGATCTTCTTTTAAAAAAACTCGACTCTCTTCGATAATATGAATGTCCACATGCATTTCGTTCCAATTAGGAGTAAAAACGCATTCAAATTTATATTGAAAATACAAAGCACCTGTTACAGCTATATATCAAAAGTTGCTTCAGTGAGAATTTTGGAGATGTATCATTCAATTCAATTCAATTAGTACCTAATTAGTTACTTGGTCTACCTTTCTTAGGGTTGTGGGCCTGGTAACTAAATATTATGTAAAATAAACCGGAAATAAACTTGGAATTACGGCACTAATTTATCAGAAAAAACTCGTGGTTGATCCATGCTCTAAATGGGGTGCATCACCATGATGAACCATACAGGAAATTTTGAGGAATTGAGTCGTTTATTTCCTGTATACTAATTTATCACTTAATTATTCATTGTATGGATCACTGTAGTTCTCCTTATACTGTTGTGCCAGCTACATATCAACTTTTCAAAAATATTCAACCGGTGGATAGTTCATATTTGCGCTCAAAAAGATGTTTTAGGTGCTTATGTGGAAGAGAAACTTGACGCTGGAACACAGCAGGATAATAATATGCATTATAATGTAGTATGACCTTTCTACTATCGGCGGTTTCGTAACAAACCCCACCTTTACTATCGTTCATTCAGCTATGAGCGTAATAATATTATCGTTTTCTTTATCCAATAGTTAAAAAATAATTGTAATTAATAACACATAATTACACGTTCTGTCGGGAATTAAATTAAGAAGTTCGTTAAAGTAGTTGAATATAAAATTAAATTGAAAGCTTTACAAGGAAATCTTGTTTTTAAGCATATGCTTTAGCATGATTTATTTAACAAACCGTCACGATTTGTGTCCGTTTCTTGCTGCATTGGGTAACGCACATCAAATTACAATGTAAGATGCTTGTTTTTTCAAGTAGTATATAATTTTTATGGTTTAACTGTTTATCTGTCATTCTTCCCTCATCGCTATTGTTTGATGCACCGAGAACTATGGAATTCTATTTTAGACCTTTTGTCTGTTTCGAATCTATTATCTAGAAAATCCACTTATTTTATTGAGAGAAAAGCATAAATAGCACTTGATGATTATAAACTGTACAGGAACTAATTCAATTAATAAACTATACAGTGTGTCCAAGATAAGAAAGAACGAACAGCATGGGGAAATCGGAGCCATAAGAGATACACAGTCGGTTATTTTAGAAACAAGTTAAAAAGCCATTATGCAAACATATGACGAGAGCGTATTTTCCTCCTAATAATATTAATGCTAGTATAACGCACTTATAAATTCAAACAAAATTTAAAAAGAAATCAAATCAGTTTCGTAACAAATGCCAGGACCAGGAAAAAATACCGGTAGGCACGAGATCCTTACCCCATTCTCTTGCAAATGATCCGCCTATCATCGAAGTCTATACAGTTTAATGAAAAATAGGGGAGCGTATACAAATACATACAAATTTTGAATTTACTTTTATTCGAAGTGTCTGCATATGGAACTTTCTATAAATGCTTTCGTAAATAGCATTGCATGGAATCCTTGGACCAAGCCCTTTCAAATGAGTCTTATATCGGCAAAATCGGTTCAGTGGTTTAGGAGTACGTGTGACGGACAGACGGGCGGACGGACGGACATCAAAGTGCAGCCAATAGCGATTTTTCACTTTGAAGAAAATACGCTAAAAGTTGCGTATTTTAGGGCTTAGTAAAATGACGTTTTAAAATTTCGGAAATTCCGATCACTTCCAAAGAAAGAAAACGATATTAACAATATTGGCTATTTTTTCTAACCGTGTTTAAAAAGATATCAAAAAACAAATAACACTTTTTTACCTCTACATACAAGATGGTTCCCGCAGGTTTTTACTGTGACGTTTCCTCTATGAGAAACCATTTTTATATGGATCGGAGAAACGTGCATGTTGAATTTATTATACTAATAGGACGATTATGGTGATGAGTCATAACGAAAATAACGACTTTGATTATGAGGCAGATCTCGAAGAAGATATTGATAATGGATGTGTATAGTTGTGTAATGAATAAAATCATCGGGCGTAACTTTGCAGTTCGCAATAGTTCCTTAGCGCCGCTCCGGCTGTTTTTACTGTCTCGTTCCCTTACAATATATTAATTTCTGAAGCCTTTTACGAGTTTTACCACTGATTATGGTTATATTAGTATGCACAAAAAATGTTCAAGTATCATTATAATAAGCGATGAAATAGACGCGTCTGCCATTTTATATTGTATCGAGATATACATAAACGACCACACTGTGATAAGTACATACTTTCTTTGTAATGAATTACTTACGTAATGCGGCCTAAAAATTGTGTAATTACGAACACGCAAGGAACAACCATTTATTAAACCGTGCTTAAATGGTACTATTGATGGTTTATTAATTACACTAATTGCATTGTTTTATAGATTCAATAAACAAAACAATGTATCTGACATCAATTATGTCCCACAAAGGGTTAAATTATAAATTTTAGATAGATTTCCAATATACTACCTATTATTGAGTAAATTTCCAATAATTCGAATATGGAAAACTGGTTCGTTAAAAATAACTGGAATCGAGCACCAAATCAGACTTCTCTCGCGGTAATGAGTATTGGTTCCATTAATGAGAGCTTACGGAACTGGGTTATAGGTACAGAATCTTTCCGATAGCATTCAGTAATAACCGTCAGCGATAAGATCTAATAAAATGTGGTATGGGGTTTTTTCATGGAGTCCATCGATTTGTAAATACGCTGAGTGAAACAGATTGGAGGCCGGTTTATTCAAAAGAAACAGTTTCGTTAGCTTTTGATACTTTCTTACAAATATTAAATAAAGCTTTTGAGGGTAGCCGTTATAATATGTCTGTGACCAGTAAATTTCCTAAACTTTATCCATGGATGGCAACCACGTTACTCCGAGTTAAAAGAAGAAAAAAACTTTTTGAATTAGCAAATCGCCATCCAAATAACATAATCTTAAAAAATCACTACATTCACTTTAGAGACAGGCTTAAAAGAAACGTATTATATGTCAAAATTAAACGAGTGTGGTGGAAATACGAGACCTCAATGGAACATGATAAATTCGTTTGGAAAAAGAAATAACTTATATTACTTCATCGGTGGTAAAAAAGATCTCATTTTTTATTGCCGACATCTTAGTTTATTTATATAATTTCAGCTTTCAATGTGGCGTTTTTCCGAATTGTCTAAAATTAGCGGTTGTCATTCCTCTGCACAAGAAAGGGTGTGCCAGTAGTCTAAATAATTATCGTTCGATTTCCTTGCTCCATACTTTTTCTAAGATCTTGGAGAAACTTGTAAAAAAAACGATTAATGTGTTTTCTCAATTCAAATTGTTTTTTTAGTAAACACCAGTTTGGTTTCAGGAGTGGTCTTTCAACTGAGGATGCTTTGATTAATTTTCTTCATGACATTTATGAAAGCTTAAATAACAGTAAAAAAACTGCTGCCCTATATATTGACATGACCAAGGCCTTTGATACGGTTGACCACCGCATTCTTTTGGAAAAGTTGTGGCGAGCGGGTGTTAGAGGGTTGTCCCATGAAGGGTTTTCTAGTTACCTCTCTCAAAGAAAGCAGTGTATTAGAATTGGAAACTATCTCAGCTAGGAAGGTTGATTGGAGCATGGAGTTCCTCAGGGCTCAGTCCTGGGACCGGTCTTATTCTTGATTTATATTAATGACCTTTGCGATGGGAATTTTTTAGGCAATATCACTGCGTTCGCTGATGATTTGGCTCTTACATATTCTGAATATTCACACGCCCCCCTTCAAGCTAGTATACAATGTGACTACTGCGCTACTGGTTCGATAAAAATAATATGGTTTTGAGTGATAAAACTAAGTACCAAATTTTTTCTCTTAAAGAAAACATAATCTCCCAAAGTCCGTGTTACTTTCATGATTTAAACTGCACCAACAGATTAAATTGTTCTTTTTTGCAAATTGAAAATACCGAAAAAATTAAATACCTGGGGTTAATCATTAATACTAAATTATCTTGGAAGGAGCATATCAGTAAATTAAAGCAAAATATGTTTGGTATTCTTCGTAAGTTTTATTTCCTAAGGAACGTTTGTCCAGTAAATGTTTTAACAAATATTTATCATGCTATTGTGAGTTCTAAGTTAGGTTACGGGCTGTGCTGCTTTGGCGGTACGTATGCTTCCACTCTTTACTCTTTAATTGGTTCCCCCCTAATATTTCTCAATGTGATTTATTTACCAAGTTTAATTTTCTTTTCTTATTGTAAATCATGTTATTATATTGAGGAATAAACATATATTATTATTATTATTATTTGGATACGTTTATTATTCCTGGGTATAGGCCGAAAACGAACCCTTAATGGCCGATTAAGAGTGGCCTAAAATTGCTTCACAAAATGGAAGATACGATATCTCTTGTCTACTATATTTCCATGATATTCCATAATATTTACAGGATGCCTACAAATGCAACTGTATACGTGACAATGAACCACAACCGCTCAATTGAAATTGAGTCTACAATCTTCCAGTTGTATACCAAATCTAACACAAACAGGCTTGTGATCATCCTCCCGTGGAATTTCTTTATTTTTAAGTGCCCTACTTATGTTATGGCGCTCTTTCGAGGTTACGTGGCCTCCATTTATGCATGTTGGCCTTTTTTAACAAAATAACTAGTGAAATGATTATTTATTACTGTATTTATGCATGCATTTTTTTAACATAATGGCTAGTGAAATCTTTTGTGATGGTTGATTTATTAAATACAATGCAATTTACGCAGAAATCAAACAATGACATAGATAAAGAGTATTTGACAAAATAAATTTGTATGGCTCTTCTATGCTTTCATACTCAGGTTATTACGGAATGATAACAAGAACGTAGTTTGCATGATTTTAATCGAGAGATACTGACATTAAACTTCGAGGCTCGAACTAATTTAATCCCTTGAACTTTTATAAGAAACTATTTGAAACACTACTGTAGATTCTCGTCCTTGCAGACGTGTTTATGAGAACAAAACTATTTTTACAATTGAGACAGTACTTCCACTGCATCCTCCGATTACAAATTAATTTACTTGGATTCCCCGCAGTTTAACCTCATCGTCCGGAATTACACCAGGTTATTTTCTTATGCAGATTACATACGTGGAGAGCATGTATTGCTATTTAAAAATTCAGGAAGCGAGCCTCTTAGTTGAAAGGACCCGTATTATACTCGTATCTTACCGTCGTGATTGGACAAATCTACGCCGCCACGTTTGTTTCAGATTGTTGACGTAAGGTAGCTTTAATATGATGGATGTAATGTCCCATTATTAAATTTTGGGGCGTTTATTTTATAAAGCGCATTAACTTAAGCTGGCGGCGATATCTTTAATACTCGGAGTAAACCACGCGGATATATTTTGCCAGATCTCTTATTCGTCTGTATGTTAGCGTAACAAATCTCTGTATAGCTTGTCGCAAACTCATCTCAAACTAATTATTATCTCTTTCGATATTACCTAGGTCTCGGTGGTGGTTTTTGTCGTGAATCAGGTATGTGATGTCTTTACGGCCTGTTCTGCTTTAAAATAAATTACACATATAACTGTAGTTTAACATTTTGTACACAGACACTCATTAAATGGGATTGGCGTTTCCTAATCGACCAAAATAGCGTGCTACAGTTAGAGACCTGTACTGTATATAATACGCAATAATAATCTCTTTCCGCCATTTCTTTCATGTGCAAAATTATCTGCTGCAATGGCCACATGAAAGTTTATTAGTTTTGTTGGTTTATTACAGACATGAAACCCCTGTACTAGCAAATCCAATCAAGCTAATTCACGTTGACGAGGATTTAATTGTTTTGGACAAACCGTGTTCGCTTCCGGTGAGTACGATGTGAATACGGATATTTGTACTGTCTATATTTATACGAATCACCATGTGGAATTGGTGCGTATTATAATGTTTGAACGGCCATTGTATTGGTTTCGGAGTGTTATTTTGTGAATCATTAAAATAAGACAAGTATTTCTGTTGGGTTAATCAGTTACCGTAATTACAGTGAAACGGGAATGTTTTACTAATGTATGTACCTACTGCATTACGCTAAATAAACAATTGTTTGTACTGCAACGAAATAGGCGTACCTAGTGCCTGTTTACGACCACGTTGTTTGCCAAGTTTGTTAGTGTCCAGGTATGCTAATTTGCCTGTATACAAATTCTTCTTCTGTCGCTCGTTTGCATGACATTGTTTGTACGAGTACCAGACAAACTAATACCACAGATCATTGTACTATTTTCTTCTCTAAATTTGTGCACTACAAAAGTTAGGGACAGTATACCTCGGTAACTTGATAATACTTCTGTTTGGCTAGTTTTCATGGAATCATACTGTTGCAACGATTTTTAACACATAGGTCCCATGTGGTCGGAAACCTACAATTCTCGATTGTGCTCATCATGAGTCACGTTATACAATTATTATTACAAACTAGAATATTCGAGTTACAGCGAACTAGTTACCGATATTGATCGAATCGACATCCTTTTGACATCTTTTTCTCCACTGTTAGTAATAATATAGGGAGTTAAAAAAATGACAAATTTCAAATTTTTGTGGAATAAGGAACAACTTTAACTTCAGTCATCTTTCTAAAAAATTTGAAAACAATCAAATATATAGATTTAATAGTAAATTTCCGTGCGTGTTTCTTTAAAAACTGCCAATGTAGATCCTTAGACAGTCGGTCAAAACAGTGGAAATATTCGCCACTTTTATCTTTGTCGACGTAGATGGCGCTCCAACGTGGACGGCGAATAAATTTTGGTAATTCAGCTGCAAAAACACCAGGCTTTACAGTCCTCATCCTCTGTACCTCCGTCGTACCTCTTCATCTAGAGCCCTTGTCTTAATCTCAAAATTACTATTCTTTTCCTAGCAATTCATAATCTTGATAATAAATTGAACCCAGCTGGGGGATGCTTATTATTATCTGATATTACATTAAATGTAAACGGCTACCCCTGGGTACTGACTGATGTGAATTGTGACTTTGTAAATTTAAATGGTTGGAGGGGCGGTAGTGACAAGATCCTGAACTTCGTAAATGAATGGCTACTTTGATTTGATGTTGAACCAAAGGTCACTCACAAATTAATTGATGCGACGCGACGGGACGGTAAGCATCAATGTTATAAAAATATTATTTGCGTACAATCATCTGCTTCAGATATGCGACGTGTACCATGTAGGTATCCTATTTTGGTTGAGACTGCTGTGCATATCAGCTGTAGCTGAAATCGACTTGGGGTTTTCGCGACCTTGTGCCACTTTTATATGATTAATACCACAAACAGAATCAATCTAGCTAAGGTAGTTTCTGAGATACAGGGTGCAAACGAAAAGTTTGACTTATTGGGATGATAGCATATCTGTCTACCCATGTAAGATAGCAACAAGGTAAAAACGGTTTCTTTTAGATATTTTTACGTAGAATCCAGTGGCGTAGTTAAAATGATTTGAGAGATTTGGCCTTATGTTGTTATTTTTTAAATGCAACACCGTATATGTCTTAAGTCAATTATTTGCATTCGTTTTCCTGATTACATTGATGTATCACAACCTATATTTTTTTATATAATTATATGTTATATTATCATATTTTTCAAAATTTTGAAATGACATGTTTCTACCGTCAGCCATTTCTATTGATTGTTATCGACTGCCATGAATACAATAAACAAATCAAAATCTCCATTAATTCATGGCCTACTATCTAAAAACCGTAAAAAACTTTTATTTATGGCTCATGGCTAAAATTATCAAAAATAGAGGTTGTGATACATCAACGTAATCAGGAAAAAGAATATACAGGGTGTTGCATTAAAAAAATACCAACTTTGGGTCAAATCTCAGAAACCGTGATTCAAAAAATTGCTTTTAGTACGCCACTGGATTCTACGTAAAAATATCTAGAATGTGCAGTTTATACCTTTTTTCTATCTTACAGGGGTAGTAAGATACGATAACATCCCAAAAGTCAAACTTTTCGTGAACGTAATAAGTCCATTTCTTTAGTTTTCAGAGTCACGGTATTTTTTCTTCCGCGTGTTTAAAAAAAATTTCGGCTAATTGTTCGGATTTCGCAATAATATTCCCTATTTTACAAGTAAACTTATTTAATGTCACTCCGTCTTTATCTTTTTGGGTTAAAATTTTCACCACGGCTCGTATTTAACGTAATAATTTATAAACAGTGTATAATTCTTTGTAAATAAGGTAATTAAACTCGTACTACACCCACTAGCTATATTATTGGAGTGCCAAACCGACATCTACAACACCTTACGATAAATTACAGGTACCTAGTCGAAGTAACTGCGCTGACTGCTTCACATTTATTTCGTAACACAATATCAAATCCACAATACGGAAATTTAGGTGGTTGATTGAACTGCGCTGACGGCGCAACGCAAACGCCCCGGCGATTCTTACCGCAATTGTTCATAGAACAACAAACTTAGAATAGAAACTGCAATGTAATGTAAAAATGACGCGCCATCTCGTGTATGTTCTCAGCAGCTTTTGCGTGAATGGCGCCAAATTTAAATATTAAAATGTAAGCTACGTCCGCATGATACTGAATTTCTCCGGATCTGTAACAATAACATTGGATTTGACTAGCTGAAACCTAAAAGGTAAATGAATCCAGCCAGTGAAGTCCAATTTTGTTTGTTAGGGATCCAAATAAATTCAGTTTAATGCGGATGCACCTCACCAGTCAGGTTAGGTCAGGTTCAAAGAGTACAGGGCACTTGTTTTATAAATAACAACTCCAATTAATCCAATCAAGGAGTTATATTTAATTTAATATGATTATACAAGATACAAGATCAACTTCATGGAACTCTACTGTATGATGCTCTCGAGCTCGTTCTAAAAACAAAATATGTAGCAATTTATTACAATTCAATTAGTGTTACCTGCTAAATATAATGTGCGAACTGCAACACGCTTTAAATCTCATCGTGTTCCAGGTTCTAAAGCGCAGCCAGAAAAATGACGTTTACAAACCAAAAACTTTTGTGTAAATTTCTTCCACATTATATTCTAAACCAATTCTTAAAAACTTCGGGCTCCATTTTTGGGAAACGTCTTCACAATTTATCACACAACATTTACGTTCTCGACTTGTATATGCATAATTCATTGTAATAATAAATAGTAATATTATACTTAAAGCACAATAAGCCGTCAATCATAATTCAAAATTCAACTGTCATAATGGCGAACACGCACGAAAGTCACTAGATTTAGTAACTTTAACACGCACGCTAACTATGCGCCATCTATTGAATGTTCTCCACACTAGTTATATTTGTACTCAGTTGTTCCCGTTTACGTTTCCCTTCTAAGTTTTTTGTTCTGGGCAATTGTTCTCGCGGCTCAAAGCTAATTTTCTGACAGTCCTTTCGAAATAACCAAATTCCCACTACTTTCACTTTTCACACCCATTCCGGGACTTAAACCTTTCCCACCAATCAAAACAAACCAATCAAATTCATTGACATCAATAACTGAACTCCAGGTGGAGTGAAATCCCACCGAATCAGCAGATCGAGAACCACGAGAACAAAATGATGTAATATAATCTGAATTTAAACTCCTCAATGTCACGACCTCTCGGCGCCTTAGGCTTTCTCACGCATTTAAATAGTCAGGACCGTATTCCGGAACTAATTGCCTGCATGAAAAATTTAAGATCATAATGGAACTTACAGGCTACGCGGACATTATCGCAACCGCCATTTAGCTCGGAGCACTCATTGAATGTTTTATGCCGAAAAACAAGGTTTTGAATATTGCTGTATTACACGTTGGGCGCCAAATAAATAATGCCGTGGCCCCACGTTAGCCGCCAGATAAATAATGATATGTGCAATCGTATGCGGTCACTGTACCACTCAACAGACACCTACCAAGCTAGATCGATTACACAATTTAGTTTCCTTTTTCTTTTTAAATTTTTTTCAGGGTACTGGGTTCCGACACCACTATAAAATCCCAACATTGATTTAAATAAGCTTGAAATAGCCGATAGCCCCAATCAAATTCCGTAAATTCCAATGAAATATCATTCGGATAAAAAAAAATTAGAAAAATCTGACATAGAAAAATAAACCTGTATTTCGAATTGGGATTTAAATTAACACATCATTAGCTGTGAAAGTGGTAAACGTTCTATTAGAAAATATTAAATAAAATCAAATACAGAGAATCATGTAAGAAACAGTCCCTTTTGAATACAAAACACCCCCTTTCCAAAACGGTAGATCGAAAAACAATGTAAGATCTCAAAAAGTTCTGTTAATAATAATCCAATAAATTGGTCAGGAGCAAATATGCGATAATCGGCATAACACACGGAATCTGGCATTCTTAAAAAAAAGTCACTTTTAATACGTCAAAACTGGCCTCAAGACAAAAAAACACTTAAATTTATGACTGCTGATTTAAGGCTTTTCTTGTATTACACATTTATTTCTTTTTAAAAACAAACTTTTTAAACTCGAAATTCCATTAGTAAAACTCCTTCGCAAAATCAAATTAGTTTCTTCATTACTTGGTTAACATGAAGACTACGTTTTTTTTTCTTTTAAAATCACAAATCCGGCTAGAGTACCGGTGCAAATTAGCGTTACATACATTACGCTCTCTTTTAAAATAACCCGAGACAGCCGTATCTATTTTTCGTTCTTCCTATTTAAGAGAAAAGCCGCTTTCGCTAGTAAATTCAACATCGTTGTTCTCCGGAGGGGACACTCGAAAATCCGCACCGTCGCCCGAACCGATAACCGCCTGCACTGCTTATCTCGCACGTGGCATTGTGTATTGCAGAACTAATTAATTTGTTGTCCGATAATACCTTTTTACCAACACCTGACCAGATATAACGTTTAACTCGTGTAAAAAATTACGATTAAATTTTCCCTTATTTATGCGTTTTAAATTTATCATACAAACTAATTACAAGAAATAGAATTAAATGACAATTACCGACTAAATTTACACTAAGAAACATTAAAAATGACAATTCAACAACCTGTGTCCATTTGAAATAAAAAAAATTCCCAGGTCTTAAAAAGAACTTATATTACGCTATATACAGTATGTCCCGACGACCATTTCCGATTTTCCGACTGAAATTACGTTAACAACACGTATTTTTACACTACAGGACGGTTCGTTCTCATCTTCGGCATTGTTTCATTCTAGAGAAACGACACCCCCATGTAGTTTAAAAAACAATATGTATTATGCTCAATTGATTCATTAGGGGGTAGAAATGTAGACACTGTGACACTATGATGTAATTTGCAACTAATAAAATTATACAATCTAATTTGGTATATTGCCAAACAAAGTCACAGGAAACAGCAGTGGGCTTGGCTTCTTTTCTTTTGGTTCTGGTAACTGCATTTGAATAATAACGCCCAGTGCCACATATGAACGATTTATTTGCTTATCCACACCTGTTGTGCAACAGGACCAAATCATTATACATCATGTTACAACATATAATAATATCCATTATGCAGTATAGTGGATAATCGCCCTGCTTGTCAAAATTTCGCCAGCCGTGATAACTGATGAATTTAAAATTAAAATGTCCAACAATTATTACACGCAAGACAATTTATTTAAAATAATATGCTCATGTCGTGCGGTCAACTACGCCAATTTACGAATTCAATTATACAAATTTTTAGTAATTCAAAAGAATTTGCTCGAAACTCGTACGCAAAAATACCGAAGAAAAATAAAGGAGGGCACAAGCCCATTACATCCACTCCACACGCAGGTGGTTGAAAATCAAATCATCAAAATCAATTAACTTTCGCGATAACAACGTTCTTATCGCATCCGAGCAGATAACACTTAAATGCATTCGATCAGATGTTAACATTCCAACACGTAATTTTTACATCTTACAATTTAAATAAACAATAATCACATTTAAACAAAAAAATTAAGCATCTAATATAACAAATTCCGATTAAAAAATCAAGTCTATGCTTGAATTAAATTAAAACATTTACACATCAGGATGGCTCGTTCCTATCTTGGGCATTACTTCAACATAAAGAACGTCCATCTAACGTTGTTTTACACAACAATATTAAAGTATCTACCTAAACTGCAAGTATGGACACTACCTATTTTAAAATAAAAAAAACTATTTATTTTCTCTGCGCTTCTTATGTACAATCTTCTCTTTTTACATCGTTTACTCAGCGTAAAACAAACGTAAATATTATACTACCTTTAGGTAAAGTGATTACTGCTTAGTATTAATGCCTTCGCTTAGTAATTCTTTGCATGCTTCTGATGTACCTACACGTTAATCCCTCTCTAACCGGCAGTGCATGTGCTATTAAGGGTAAGTTAAGTAGATAAAATGAATGAATGAGCATGTGTGTTGCGTAATATAATTGGTACCTACATGTAATGTATGTCACTAATTCGTTCAATCCTCCTTTCTAACTACAAGCGATACCATAATTTATATATTGGCGAAAAGTGCAAGGTAATTTATGTGCTATTTTCATTGTGCAGGTGCACCCCTGCGGCCGGTATCGCCATAACACCGTGGTTTTCATTCTTGCCAAAGAGTACAATTTAAAGAATTTGCGAACTATTCACCGATTGGATCGACTCACGAGCGGACTTTTATTGTTCGGTCGATCGCCAAAGAAAGCTAGACAAATGGAACACCAAATTAGAAATCGCCTCGTACAAAAGGAATATATATGCCGCGTCGAAGGAGAATTTCCCGAGTAAGTCCTTTCGTAATTCCTCTCATCGATCAGGTTTCGCTAAATGCTCGCGTGTTGCAGGGGAATAATAGAATGCAAAGAGCCCATCGAGGTGGTTAGTTACAAAATAGGCGTATGCAAAGTTTCCGCGAAAGGAAAGGATTGCGTAACCATCTTCCAGAAGCTAGGATACAACGGACTAACCAGCATTGTTCTATGTAAACCAAAAACAGGAAGGATGCATCAAATTAGGGTTCATTTACAATATTTAGGTAAGTAAAGCGATCATTACCTATTAGCGTCGAAATGTCATTCCCATGTTGTGTAGGGTATCCTGTAGTTAACGATCCTTTATACAATCACGAGGTATTTGGTCCTATGAAAGGGAAAGGTGGCGATTTAGGCGGCAAGACGGATGAAGATTTAGTTAAGGATTTAATTCACATACACAACGCCGAAAATTGGCTTGGAATGGACGGCGACAGTGATTTATCCATGTTTAATTCTAGAAAGGGAGATCTAGAGGATTCCTTGGAAGTATTGGAACCAAAAGGTAAGATTAACAAGTTGTGCGTGACTTCCGTGATTATTTCATTATTTAGGAGACGACGAATCCGATCAACTCTCCAGAGAGCCTTCCCCTTGTGATGAAAATTGTGAAAATAACACATCAGTGCCATGCGAATCAACGCCACACCCCCTTCATTGTAGAAGTGACCGCGAAAAGGTGACGGTCGCCACACAGACTGGACATGAAGCGCCTGATCTCAGCTTTAATCCTGATAAAATGACTGTAGATAAGCATTGCTACGAATGTAAAGTTAGATATCGTGATCCTAAACCTCAAGATTTAGTCATGTATCTCCACGCCTGGAAATATAAGGTACGTCAATTCCTAAAAGCTTGAAAATCCATCGGCGCAACAGTCGTTGCAATGGTTTTGAGCTATTATTAAATTAGGCGATAAAAACCACCGTAAGAACAAACTATGTGTTTGTAAATCTGCAATTAAATCAGCGCAAAAATCCCTATGAGTTTCTAATGCAAAACCATCCATGGTTAACTACAGCTGTAAAGTTCAATTCAAAGAAAGTTGTGTATGACTCATCCTAAAAATACCGACTACCGGACCAACCTACGCATTTATCGGCATTAATTGACAACAAAGGAATTAAAACGCCTTAGGATGCCAATAAAATTAAACTGGTGCTGGCGTGATGGCAATTTCCCTTCTATCAATGACCTTTTGATAATTGCTTTTTGACAATTCCAGGTGGGTTTTCAGATTCTGTTTATTCGTGCGGGTTACGCAATAAAACATCTTCCATTAATTCACTCAAATTAGAGAGAAGGTCAATCATAAATTTGCCCACCAATTTATTTTTAACGCGCCGATTTATACATTGTAAGAACTAGAACGATTACCTACATAAAAATAAAAATTTTCTTACAATATAGGGCTGTGTGCCACCACAACAAACACCTAGCTAGCTCCTTACCTTTATTTATTATCATGGCACAAAACTTCTCCCCAGCACAGAGGAGAGATTCGACTCTGCTCTCAGTTAACCTGTTAACTTCTAACAGATAGTGGGTCAAACCAAATACCTTAAAACTCCAAACTGAACTGCAAAACTTTGAATAATTTAAATGGACCTTGGGCATCCAATAAAAACACAGGTAAATTAGAAATGAAGTCAACGATTGGAACTCCCAAAAAGCAAAATAAATCTTCAACGAAACGTAGTTCTGCGTTGACTATGGCAAAAAGCGGCGCTTTTCTTGTTAACGTCCTATTTAAAGCGAAACCCTTCTTCCGAAAGTAAAAATTACAACAACCAATCATACAAAGTTAACAACAAAGAGAGAAATAAAACTCTCCTATTACCAAAAAAATAGATCCATTCAATTTTCTAAACCAATTTGTTATCAGACATTAAAGAGATAAATCCAAACTTAAATTCAAGGAAAAATAAAATTTCATCTCTCGTAACTACACAGAAAAGGCGATAAATCTCATGTATCTGGCAATTAAATTAAGCATTTACATTTGATAATAAATAAAGACCCAACAATTCCCGGAACTTTCTACGTTTACATAAAATAAAATGTAAACAAAAACAACCTTGACTCATACAAAGAAACAGCATATTGTAGGACTCACCTTTTTCGTATACGATAAGACACAAGAACTGCAGTCCGCATGAGATGAGCAAGCAACATATACAGCGAAGCATCGGACTGTATGGGGCACTTACTCCACGGAATAGTAAACTCGAGGTATAAAGAGCACCAGCACAACGATAATAAATACTCAATAAACAATGTAAATACATAATCATCTGCACAGTATAACAAACATGAAATTCAGTAACGGTACATAAATAAAAGGTTCACGAAAAAACATCCCTGAACTAAACCACGAGGACCATATAAAGGTCATAAAAAATTTATTTTTTTTGGCCACTATTTCAATTATTAAATAAAGACGGATGATATTAAGTGTGGTTTTAATAGCGACAGGCGTCTTAGAGTTAAATTCCAAATTGACAAAGTTCTCACTTTTTTAGAAAGAAAAAATGGTTAGATTAGAAATTCACAAATCATTTCTAATGATCATTAGTTATATTGCAAAGTTTCAAAAACTAGCTCATTTATGTTATCTTCAAAAGATTGTATCAAATAAATAAGACCGTAATTTTGCATGGCCTATAGTAGTGAAAAATGTTGTTACAATAAATGCAATTTAACAGTTTCTTTTAGAACCGTCTCACAATCATTACATTTTTCAATTTGTTTTTTAATAATTTCGATAACTATATTTGGATGTTTTTTTAATACCTTGGAACCTTGAAACTTGGTCCTTTCCTAAAATGATTTGGTTAAGGCAGGGATGATTGCGGCGTTTTAACCTACCGCTAGTCGCAGCCAATTTTGTAGAAATTTTGACTACCAAAAAATATTTCATATGATACCATCACTGAACTGGACGCCTGTCAAAAATGAATGAACCAAGTTAGGCATAGTCATTGAATAAACACTTTACCGACGACAATCATTATTATCATTACCTATTTGTATTTGTTCTTTCAGGGTCCTGGCTGGGATTACGAAACGGAATTACCAGAATGGGCAAGAGTCGATTGGATTGACTCAGATCCATTGGGGTGATGACGATGATGACTTCTCTTCCTTAATTTAAGGCATCTCTTATCCACTCAGTCTTTCCAAAAAAAGCTACTTTTAGGATGAATCCCTCGCGTATTTCTGTGAGGGAGCAAAACAATCATTCTATATTAATCCGTTTTGTTCGCCAATACTTTGTCTACGACGATAAAAAACTATCCCTTAATTATAAGTATTAGAATTTAAACACAGCAGCAGCTTGCTAAATACGTTTTTTGTTCCGAATTCTTGTGCTTCATTAGATTGCTTTCATTTGTACTTCTCAGCGCATAAAGTGATGTTTGACTGTTCATGTGAACGTATATATGCCCAATAAATTTACTTATATATTTTGTATACTGTACACGATGACTTTCATTAACATTTACATTCTCTTCACCTACCAATTGAATTTAATTGAAAATTACCTATTCGGTAGGTTAAAATATTTTATCAAAAAAGTACTGAGATACAGTCATACTGTGCCTTAAATTGTATATTGGTATGTTTTCAGTTGATCACCCATTCATATCATTTTCTTGCATGGACCCTTGCTTATGGTAGTGTTGTTATCGCAATTTTAAATCCATTTATCGTCGAGGAATGTTACCATTTGTGATAATTATTAATTAGTTTATTGCGCATATAAAATTTTTACTTTTCAATAAGAGGTACATATATTATTATATAGTGACAGATTTGCAAATATATATACGTAGTAAACTAAAGCTTTATATTACGAAAAAGGTAATATAGAATTTTTTTATTATCAAAGTGCATAGAGTGGACAGAGCTGACAGTTTTATTTTTAATTACCACTTGAAAATCGAAACATTTTGTAACACTAAGCTTGTTTGTATAGTTGTATATACTTGAATGTTGTGATGTAACAACTGGGACCTATCTTTACTACAATAGCATTTTATAATGTTGCAAATACAGCAGTAAGTATTGATATTTTTTAAGCTGTCAGTTGATTGTACGAATTACAAATACGGAAATACTTACTGATCGAATATATGGCTACCAATTTAAAGTTTTCTATATAAATGAATTTAACGAGTGAATCTGAACAATACACATATGTCTTACTATGTATGCATATCGATAGTTACTTTCATACAATGATAAATTTACGATATAAAAGATACAATCTCAAAATGAGCTTAAAAGAACTAATTGCATAAGCTAGCTTTTGTAAGAATGTAAAAGCAAAAATAAACTGATCAGCTTCGTATCATCATATTTTAGGCCGCCTACAGTTTGTTTCGCTTTAAAACAAAAGCTTCAAGCATCCGGGTGAACAATTCGTATTTGTTGGCTATTTTATAGATATGTAATTTTTATTTCTTAACTAATTGAAAAGTGCACCTTTAAATGATGTGTGTTTTGCATAGAGCACCTTTTTGTTTTTGTGTCATTTGTATGTTTAATGGTGCATTTTTCTGTTAAAAAAGACATTTTACTAAATTACAACATAAGTAACGTTAAAAGACAGTATAGATTAATTACTTGTTTTGTTGTTTGAAATTATATATTTCATTATGAGCATTGTTGCATTGTGTTGTATTTTATGTATATATCAATTTTTCCACTATTGTTCATTTTGTCCATAGCTTATTATAATCTGTGATGGTTATTGTTTATACAGCTATGACAAGGTATTTTAGAATAGTCTTAGTGTTTAATGTAGCATTCTATTCTTCTTGTAGTTTGCAGTGTGTTATTAAATGAAATACCACTTAAAATATAAATTCGTTTTATTGTTGTGTTAGGGGTTCAGAATTTATTGAACATTTTGCTGGATCCTATGGTTATGGAACGTATCACCTCTTCTGGTATTTGGTTTGGAAAAGGGAAAGGCAATGAAAGAACTTATAAAACTTTCCGAACTTTTTGGATATCTTGTCCAAAAAATTTGGAAATTTGAAAATCTTGTCGCGCCACCGACAAGATATCCAAATCATAGTTTCCAAATTGGTTGGATATTTTGTCACTTTATTTTGATTTGGAAAATTTTGCGATAAAAATTGGAAATCTTGACGAAAAAAATCCAAAACATTTGGAAAATTTGTCTCTAAAAAGTTGGAATTTGGATATCTTGTCAGTCCCATTTTGGTGGCATTACAGTAAAAGTGGACACGAGACAGGTGCTTCTGATGATGTTGCAATTGCAATTGGAAGGCGAATAATCCTGTGGCATTGGCATCAGGAGTTTGAAAACGTGTGTTAAGGAGCTTAAAGATTCCACAAAAATCAAAATTTTGGTTCTTGATGCAAAGTGTCTGATACTGATTTCCAATTTGAAGCTACGGGCGCCGATAACGTGTATAGAGACACATGCTGGAAAACGTTAGCTCCGAAACAATGTTTCATTTTACAGCAGTGTCTTCTGGACTGGAGAAGGTCCGACTAATTAACAATTTATTTCGTGTGCGAAATGATATTTTTCACAAATGGGAAAGAAGTGGAGTCGCTCTGTATTTGAGATGTTCATTCTTTATTAATTAACGTGTAATAATCCTAGCTATACTGCATTCATTATAAGAAGGTAGTAGATGGCGCTGTGTTTGAAGATAAACACACACAGGAAAAATATAAAACGGCACCAAAGTATTGTAAAGTAGAAATATTCCGCACAGCGAACAGAAATAAATCTTTGACAATAACAGCAAATGACACTTCAGCAATTTAGTTGGCAATATAAACTACTACCTTAAAAAATTCACCAGTCGTTTTATGTTTCATTGTAATACTGACTCGTGTTTTAACCAATCACAGTGAAGGTCAAAGCTTCCCTATGCTTTCTACCGCCAACTTCTTAAAATGAATACAGTATAGGGGTCTATCAAGCCGACACCGAAAATATTGACTTACTGTGTACTTACAGTTGGCAACACTGGAAACAAACTACAAGCAGAGCCATCTACCTTTCAAGTCGAAACCATGGACGTTTCGCGGCACTTTTGAATTTGGATAGCAGTCGGCTCGATATGGCTGGCACGAATGAACTCCTACATTGTGTAATCGGTTCTTGTATGTGTTGGGACGTGAGACATAATCGGGAAGGGAATTAAATAAAAGACAGAATTTTTGTGCATAAGAAATGGCAAGAGCAAATAAATATATTACGCACACAACGAACCCATACCAGCGAAACCTTCTACGGGACAAAAACCCCGGCATATGCCACACAATTACATGAAATGAATACACATAAATAAAACATCTCGAATTGTATGATAAAAATCAGATAATCAAATCAAATGCAATTAAACAAGTTCATAAAAATTAAAAACAAAATACACAAGACATCATAAATGCAGTGGAAAACCTGATAAATCAATTCAGTATAAAAACACATCAAAATACCTGTACGATCAATTCAGATAACACAATTCGTAAAATAATAAACGTGTAAACAAATATAGAAAACGAACTCCTATAGTTGTAGCATGCGCAAAATCAAATTTTAAATCTTGCGTTAGATCTGTTTCTATTACAAGTGCATATGTATCAAATTTCATTAAAATGATTCCATAAATAAGAAAGTTGGCACTGCGCATGCTCAAAAAATTTTGAAACTGGCATTTGCTTTTATTCCAAGCGCCTATGCATGAAATTACATATAAATATCTTTATCTTAGACTGTGAAAGAAAGGGGACTGATAATATCCTATCAAGGGCAATGCTGCGCGTTGAAGCCCGGAGCGGCCATATTTTCGGAGCCAAAGTTTGTTTAATTTTTCATTTTCGTGATTATTAAAATTATTAAAAACAATATTGGACAATGGTACATTGTAGTGCACGGAAGTGATAGCCAAAAAACACACGAAAGTATATCGTTTCGCACAGGGATAAATTATAGGTTAGTTTTCGGTGAAATAACAAACAAATGTGGGCTTCACTTTACGATCATTATTATCACTCCTCATTCTTTCCTTTCTCTTCTCTTTATAAATAAAAAAGTTTACAATTCGGTTTATAAATACTCGAGATGCGAAAAGAGCACTGTGAATCTTGAATCGATTAGACTCAACCTTTGGAATTGCGTATTATATGGCTAAAGCTATGCCCATATTGAATTTCATACCATTCGGTTCATAACTAACAGAGATGTCAAAAGAGCGTTCCTTATTTTTTTTACCTACATTGCCAATTCACGAACTCCGATCTACAAATTTGATGAAGAATCCACCTAGTAAATTTCATCGTAATCGGTTCATTCGTTTTTTAAATATCGTGCTAACGGACGGACAGACTCGCTAGGAGTTCGTTAATAAATTGCATGTACATAGGAAACATGTAAAGGCAGGTGTGTTTCTACTCCAGCCTTCAGTTAACATAATTTAATTTAACACGAAAAGTGCATGTGAGAATGCCAATAGCTTCAAGCAGAACATATTTTAAAGAGGGGAAATGTTAATGAGAGGGTCCCTAAATATCTCGCATTGCTAAGATGCCAAGAACGGCAATCCGCACGAGACGAGTAGGCAAAAGATACAACGAAAGATCGAACTGTATTAGGTACCTACTCCACGGAGACAGAATGAACCACTAACACACACAAACATCGAAACATCAAACAACAATCAAACTGTATTAGGTACTTCCCTCACGGAATAGTTACGATTCAATCCAACAGAGCAAAATCGCACTAATAATCAACTCCTCGTGAATACAGAAATAAATAGGTACTTAATAAAACAAAATAATGGCATAATCACCTGTACAGAATAACAAACACGATTCCTCTAACGGTACTCAAAAACAAAAGCATGGAATATGCCATATTTAGATATCGCATCAAATTGTGGCAAGAAATTCAATGATTAATAGCTAGTACAAGAAAGAATAAAATGGCTACTACCTGTAAATACACCTTCAAAACACCACAACCAAAATAATCAAGAATAAAAACCGAGAACGCGTGATGCCTTCCGTCAATGAATAAAGAATACCTTATTCATTGCCTTCCGTCGACCCCGTCACCATCTTCCTTCTTCAGCGTTCCGCTGCTTCCGCCCATATATATGCATATATATATAAGAGAAGTATATGGATAAACGAGTGGACACGCCTATCGCCAACGTTAGTGGATGGAAATATACTTCTGTCATTAGTTGGGAACTAGGCGCTAATGCGCTTGCCTGTTATTATGTAGTGTTATTTACCAAGCATTTACTCCAGTTTGACATAACGGATTGAGGTTAAATTGTTTGTTTTGTTTATGAGTTATTGAACTTTTGTTTAATTTTAATAGTAAAGAAGCCTTTCGTAGTTATATAAATCAGTATACGTAAGTGCTACACAATAATTGTAAAGGAATACCTAATGTTTGGCAATTTTAGTGTGTTCATTACTTAGAAATAAAGAATGCAGGTACTTGTGGGAAAGTGGATTCTTCGGTTTCATGGCACAAGTAAGTTACAATGCAATTATCTGCAATCAATTCATTTATGCCATACTTGTTATTAGATTCCCAAGTGAAAAAAGCAACAAGAATCGGTGACTGCAAGCATGTGAAGTATCGGAATTCGATGATGTAAAAACAAGGTTGTGTTCTCGTCATTTTAACTGCTATGACTGCATTGATTTGGATGCACGCAAGCATGATGGGGGCACGAAGTTATATGGGGGTCACTTAAAACCTAAAAGATTTCCAACTCGACAATGTTAATTTTATTTTAAAATCAGTAAATGTCTTTAATTTAATTGTGTTTCTTTGAACATTGGTAATGTATTACTTTATATTATAGCTGATGCGAACTTATCCAATTTCAAGTTATATTCAAGATATAATCCCTATAGGTATATTATTTCAATTGCAATTTAAGTTTCTAAATCGTTACAAAGTTTGCCTTCGAAGTTGAAGGGTGTAACCGTAAACAAACTCAGCTGAGGAAGCTCGAAAGTTCTCCGTGAAAATGCTACAGTTTCCAAGCAGAACGATACGGAGTACCTTGAACCAGAACGCACTGGGTGGCATGTGAGCGCTGATTTGAGTTGGCAGTGAAATCATTCACGTAGGCCATTGACTGCAGGTCCCGAATCCTTGTGTGCCGAAAACAATGTTGAGGGCACAAAAAAGGGAAGATTCAAATTGTCGTCGCTGATCGGTGAAGATGCTAGTAGGGGAATCGAAGCGATATAGTCAACAGGTAAGAAACGCTTCGGCGGCGATTGGT